GTGTGTGTGTGTGTGTGTGTGTGTGTGTGTGTGTGTGTGTGTGTGTGATGGGCTGGTGGTGAGTTACTGAAGGGGCTGTTGCTGAGCTTTTAGGAGCAGCGAAGGGGTTACACTGCAGAAGTGGTGGAGGAAACAAACATGGACCACAGGCCTTGTAACCATTAACACTTGTAACGTCAGCAGAGCCTGTTTTCAAGAATTAAGAGCCACCCCCCGACCTCTCCCCTCCAAGTTCCTTGTGTTGGCTGAGGATTTCCGAACGCTGTTCAGCCAGCCATTGAGTGCAGTCGTGATTGCAATGTCATAAATTGAACAGCAAGATCCCACAGTGTGAGAGTGATGCAGATCACGGTGTTCTAGTGACGTCAAGGGGAGGCAATGGCCTGGTGATATTATCGCTGGACTGTTAACCCAGAGACCCAGATAACGTTCTGGGTTCGAATCCCGCCACGGCAGATGGTGGAATTTGAGTTCAATAAAAAAAATCTGGAATTAAGAGTCTAATGATGACCGGGAATCCATTATCAATTGTCGGAAAAACCCATCTGGTTCCCTAATATCCTTTAGGGAAGGAAACTGCCATCCTTACCTGGTCTGGGCCTACACGTGACTCCAGACCCACAGCAATGTGGTTGACGCTTAACTGCCCTCTGGGCAATTAGGGATGGGGCAATAAATGCTGCCTGGCCAACAACGCCCTCATCCCGTGAATGAATAAAAAAGAAACTGAGGGATAAATACAGGGGACAGTGTCTTTACCCGGCTTCCCATCCCCTTTCCCCCTCACCAACCCTTTGCTTTTCTTCCAATCCCAAGGGAATTTTTAGCCTCAGGACCTTTGACATCCTCGGGGGCCCTTTCGCTCATTTGAGGGTTTGAGCTCCAAGGGGGAGAGAGAGAGAGAGAGGGTCGGCGAGCCCTGTGTTGATTGGCTGAGAGTGGGCTTGCCGTGGAGATGCCGAAGGGTCCCACGCCCTCCCCCAAGTTCCCGGATCAGGGGGAGAAGGATGGGGGTGGGGTGGGGTGCGGAGGCTCGGAGGACGGATCACTGCGTCCCAGCGGGACCCCAGCCAGCGAGACAGGTTATCTCGATGGCTCTCGGGATTGTTTGCCGAGCGCTATTCCGACCGGCTTTCCCGCCGAGGCCGGGCCGACAAGCCTCAGTAAAGTGCGTCTCTCCATCCGCCAGAGCCTGAGCTCCCCACACCCCCCAACCCCCACCGTAGTGAGTGACACGCCCTGGAGGAGGGGGAGGGGTTGGGGCACACGTTTCGAGCGCCTCAGATGAGGCCCGGATGGCTGGCGCAGACGGTGCTCGCTTGGGGACCACGCGGGTAGATTTGCATAGGCCCCCACCCCCCTGAGGAAGCCGCGCGACTCTTTGACCCCCGAGGATGTCAAAGGTCCTGAGGCTAAAAATTCCCTTGGGATTGGAAGAAGAGCAAACGGTTGGGTTGGGGGGGACAGGGGATGGGAAGCCGGGTAAAGACACTGTCCCATGTATTTATCCCTCAGCTTTTTTCTTTATCCATTCTCGGGATGAGGGCGTCGCTGGCCAGGCAGCATTTATTGGGTGCTCGCTCCTGACCTACGACCCCCCAGGTCTGTGACCCCTCCCCACTATCCCGGCCATGGCTGAAACGGACCCTTTGGCCCATAATGCCGACCCTAATCCTAAATTAATCCAGTCCCATTTGCCAGCATTTGGCCCCTATCCCTCTAAACGCTTCCTATCCATGTCCCGATCCAGATGCCCTTTAAATGTTGTCATTGTACCAGCCTCCACCCACTTCCTCTGGCAGCTCGTTCCATACACACACCACCCTCTGCGTGAAAAAGTTGCCCCTCAGGTCCCTTTCCCCTGTCGCTGTAATCCCTCTGGTTTTGGACTCCCCCACCACCCCAGGGAAAAAGTCCTTGGCTACTTTCCCTATCCATGCCCCTCATGGTGGGTCTTGTAACGGGCATGGGGGGCTTGAGTTCTCGGGTCCAAAGCTGTGAGACACACTAAGAGGACATTGTCTTAAACTCGCCCTTTTATTGAAGTTTCTTTTCTTGTTATATTATTGTGAAAGGGCTGTGATGCTGAACTTTTTATTTCTCTACTTTTCGAGTTTTTTTCCCTTAAGAGTTTATACTCGGGCATCTTTATCGGAGGGTCAGCACTCAGGGAGCGGGCGCTGTCGGAGGGTCACGCTGAGGGAGCGGACACTGTCAGAGATGCTGTCATTGAGGTTAAGATATTAAACCAAAAGAACCCATTGGAAGGCAAGCTGGTGTGTTGCTCGGGTGGAGGGGTGAGAATGTCCAATTTGTCACTGAATAAACATTAAAATCATGGAGTCATAGAGTGATGCAGCACGGAAACAGACCCTTTGGTCCAACCAGTCCATGCTGAATATAATCCTAAACTAAACTAGTCCCACCTGCCTGCTCCTGGCCCATATCCCTCCAAACCTTTCCTATTCATTTATCTATCCAAATATCTTTTAAATGTTTTAATTGTATCTGTATCCACCATTTTATCAGTTAGTTCATTCCACACGTAATCATCCTCTGTGCAAAAAATTTACCTCATGTCTTTTTTAAACATCTCTCTTCTCACCTTAAAAACGTGCCCCCTAGTCTTGAAATTCCCCATCTTAGGGAAAAATCATCAACTTTATCAATACCTCTCATTGTTTTATAAACTTCTAACAGGTCACCTCTCAACCACCGACGCTCCAGTGAAAAAAGTCCAAGTCTATCCAGCCTTTCCTTATAAGTCAAACCTTCCATACCCGATAACATCCTGGTAAATCTCTTCTGAACCCTCTCCAGCTTGCTAATACCCTTCCTATAACAGGGTGACCAGAACTGGACACAGTGCTCCAGAAGAGGCCTTAGTAATGTCCTGTACAACCTGAACATGACGTCCCCAACTCCTACACTCAAAGGACTGAGTAATGAAGGCAAGTGTGCCAAACACCTTTTTAACCACCCTGTCTATATGTGACACAAACTTTAAGAATTATGTACCTGAACCCCTAGGTCCCTCTGTTCTACAGCACTACCCAGGGCCCTACCACTAATTGTATAAGCCCTACCCTTGTTTGTTGTGCCAAAATGCAATACCTCACGTTTATCCAGATTGAACTCCATCTGAGATAACAAGGTGTAGAGCTGGATGGACACAGCAGGCCAAGCAGCATCAGAGGAGCAGGAAGGCTGACGTTTCGGGTCTAGACCCTTCTTCAGAAATGGGGGAGGGGAAGGGGATTCTGAAATAAATAGGGAGAAAGGGGGAGGCGGATGGAAGATGGATAAAGGAGCAGATAGGTGAAGAGAAGACAGATAGGTCAAAGAGGCGGGGATGGAGCCAGTAAAGGTGAGTGTAGGTGGGGAGTTAGGGAGCGGATAGGTCAGTCCAGGGAGGATGGACAGGTCAAGGGGGCGGGATGAGGCTGGTAGGTAGGAGATGAGGGTGCGGCTTGAGGTGGGAGGAGGGGATAGGTGGGAGGAAGAACAGGTTAGGGAGGCGGGAACAAGCTTGGCTGGTTTTGGGATGCGGTAGGGGGAGGGGAGATTTTGAAGCTTGTTAAGTCCACATTGATACCATTGGGCTGCAGGGTTCCCAAGCAAAATATGAGATGCCGTTCCTGCAACCTTCGAGTGGCATCGTTGTGGCACTGCAGGAGGCCCAGGATGGACATGTCGTCTGAGGAATGGGAGGAGGAGTTGAAATGGTTTGCGACTGGGAGGTGCAGTTGTTTGTCGCTAACTGAGTGTAGGTGTTCCACAAAGCAGTCCCCAAGCCTCCGCTTGGTTTCCCCGATGTAGAGGAAGCCACACCGGGTACAGCGGATGCAGTATACCACATTGGCAGATGTGCAAGTGAACATCTGCTTGATGTGGAAGGTCTTCTTGGGGCCTGGGATGGGGGTGAGGGGGGAGGTGCAGGGGCAGGTGTAGCCCTTCCTGCGGTTGCAGGGAAAAGTGCCGGGTGTGGTGGGGCTGGAGCGGAGTGTGGAGCAGACGAGGGAGTCACGGAGAGTGTGGTCCCTCCGGAAAGCAGATAAGGGTAGGGAGGGAAAAATGTCTTTGGTGGTGGGGTTAGATTGCAGAGGGCGGAAGTGTCGGAGGATGATGCGTTGGATTCGAAGGTTAGTGGGGTAGTACGTGA